TTTTTTTTTTTTTTTGTGTGTGTGTGTGCAGGTGTCAGGTACTAATGTGATTTATTTGAATGGAGAGAGTACAAAAAGTTTTACTTTTCATTTTCCTTTACAGGTGTAGTGTACAAAACAAAAAAGTTGATTGAATGTTGACCGTGTAAGGTTACAAAAACTAAAAAAGCTACTTGATATATGAACCAAATTACTAATGTTATTTAGTTTTACTCCATGAATTAATGTTTGTTATGAATTAATGTTGTAGTTTTCTATTTCAGACAACATCTTACAATAAGTTATGATAAGTAATAAAAGCTATTTGAGCGGGAAAAGAAGTTTATTCCAGCTGCTTCACTTTTATATATATATAGATGTAAGAAAAGAAAATATTATGAAAGTTTGATTAGTAAAATGTAAGAAAAGAAAATATTATGAAAATGACGGTTATATTTTTAATAATATTTTTGGTATATTTTTATTCCTTTATATTGTATCGTGTTTGTATCGTCCCCCTGTTATATGCATGGTTTATATTAAGTATATTTTCGGTATATGTATCGTGTTTGTATCGTCCCCCATGTTAGTTAGGATTTATATTTCGTATATTTTCAGTATATTTTTTGGTATATTCTCAGATGACCAATGTTTTAAAAAAACGATATATATACCATTAAAAAACGATATATATACCATTAAAAATGATTAAAAATATATATACCATTAAAAAGTCGATACATATACCATAAAAAAACTAAAAAGAACCCATTTAATGAATGATCAAAATAAAATAAATTTTTTAGAGATATAATCATTCCATACATGAACCAAGTTTTTTTTTTGTATTGTGGTATATGTACAGTATATGATCAGTATATGTACAGTATATGATCGTACTTTTCGCCGGATTACTGCTCCTCGCACAGCGATGCTTGACCCGATCGATTTCCTCGCGCTCCAATCGATTTGAAAGGACCTCTCTAATCTGCTCGAATCAAATTACTTCTCCTCTTGGAATTTTCACCGTCGTCCCTGCAATTTCGCCAGAGTTTACTGCGACAGCAATATGTCTCTTTGATCTGATCATATTGAATTACTTCTCCTATTGAGATTTAACCACCGTCCCTACAATTCTCTTTTTCTTTTTCATGGTAGTTCATGGCGGAAATCACGCCACAATCTGTTGGATGGAGGATGTTACATAGTAACTGATATATGAAGGTAAACTTGAAAATACTTTCATATCGTGTAATAGGTGTAAAATTTTGAGAGAAGTACTCCGTGAACGACTCCTTTCTTTTTTATTTCCCAAATAACGAGATTAGAAATTTTATTCCTCATTAATATTTATGGGTTCACAATTACGAAATTGTTGCGTCATTAGCTATCCAGATCTAATCGGCCGCATCACTCATGTTCCCATTTTTTTTCTTTCTTCCTAATTCTTCTCTTTCTTCAATCGGTAGAAGACCACGCAATTACCCCTCCCCTCAATTACTTTCCCTTTCCTTTTAATCTCCCACACACACAAGTGCTAACCATTTTTTGCACACACTACTTTTTGAACGCATAGTCCTCATGAATGTCGATGATTTGTTTGTGTACGAGAATACTTTCAAAACCAGATTTGATTATCGCTTCGATGCCTCTTGTGCGAAAGAGGATTCAATTAGGAAAAAAAAAATCAAGGTACGGGTGAGTTGCAGAGATTAGATGAAGTTCCATGGTTAGTTCCAAATTTGTGTGGGAAAGGCTTAAGATCTATCTTTGATCACCTAAAGGCAATGGCTTAAGAAGATGCCCACCTCTCGGAATCCGAAACCTATAGCAGTAGAAGAGTTTTGGAGGTGAGCCTTCTGTACGACTTGGTATGACTGATTTTTTCGTGGCTTATTTTGGCCAGGTTATAATAATGTTGCTCAGTTTACTTATGGTTTATTAGTAGTTTATTTTAGTTTACTTGTGGTTTATGAGTAGTTTACTTATGGTTTATGAGTAGTTTATTTCAGTTTACTTGTGGTTTATGAGTAGTTTACTTATGGTTTATGAGTAGTTTATTTCAGTTTACTTATGGTTTATTAGTAGTTTATTTCAGTTTACTTGTGGTTTATGAGTAATTTACTTATGGTTTATGAGTAGTTTATTTCACTTTACTTGTGGTTTATTAGTAGTTTATTGTACGCATATTTTATAATAGAACATGTTTCAAATAATATCAGTAATTTGCTTATTTACTGTTTACGAATGGTTTATTTTTATTTATTTTAGAAGTGTCTAATGACGTGATGGGGTTGAAGAAAGATTATTAAGTTGGATTATTGATATTTTATTTGGTGTACAAAATTAGTTTTTCCTAATTCATTTATTTTATTAAAGTTTATTTGAGGTATATAAGTATATTTCTTATTTTAATAACATCATTTTTCTATAAATAAAAGAAAGCAAAAGGCCAAAAAGAAACAGATGAGGAAAATTTGAACACCCGTGCGCGCTACAAGAGAAGGAGCAGAGGGCGGAAGAAAGAGAGCATAGCTTAAAGAAAGAAAAGACACCCATACTGGAATTAAAATGTAAATTATTCGTTGGTGTGGGATTTGTTTACATATCTCGTCATTTTGGAATTATTTTAATAAGAACTGGATGTATGTGTACTTTCGCCTAAAATTTTTCCTATATAAATCTCAATACTTTGAAAATATATGTGATGAAAGTATTAAAAAGTCTACTATAAGAACTCCAGAATAATTCTATAATGTCTACTAAAGTCTATCAAATTTTCAAAAAGTCGAGTAATGTTACTCACTTTAAAATGTTATTAAAAGTCTTTAAAATTTGGGCTACCATTGGGATCCAATTGAAAATTGTACCGATCATGAATTTTGGAAAAGGGTAATAAGGAAAAGAATATCGATAGTGGGATAATATAATCGTCGTCTTCTTTTTCCTGCATAAATATTAGTCTTTCACTACTGCCATTTTATAATTTATTATGTTAAGATTTGTAAAAACACAAAAACTTAAATATTGCAATCTATTGAAATAAAGTCAATTGGCAATAAAATATGCCACCTTAATAATTTGGACACCACCATTACACACCCGACACCTTAATAATTTGGACACCTTAATGAAAATAAATGGTGAAAAAACATTTGAGATGGTTCTCCTACATGCGGGTATGAATTTAATGTCCAATTTGAAGTGAGCTTTTTCCTTAATTACTTTGATTTATTTAATAGATAAAATTTGTTTTAGAATGTAATGGTTGCAATTTATGTGATACAAAAATATTAAATAATCATCCCAAATCATTGGCAGTTAAAATTTTGTGAATAAAATGAATAGTAAATTTTGAGTTAAAAGATCTTGTTTTCAATGGTTGCCAAAACAATATTGGCGTGTTCTTTGCCTAGGTGGCGTCGAACGTTCCAACTCAGCTCATGAGATGGCTCTCTCCCAATTACCCCAACCTGGATTTTTCGCAAATTAATTCAATAACCCAGTTTCCCCAAATTCAAAGAACCCTGTGAAAATCTGATAAACATCATCTATTACAAATCCAAGGAGATCGGCTTATCCATCTTGTAAGCAACAAGGGCCTCATTAATTACTCGATTCACTGCATTTCCTTTAACCTGCATTGAGTTACAAGAACCAAAAGGTCGTTTTGAAAGCATAGATGGAGAAAAAAAAAAAAACAGGACAATAGAAAACCCTATGCAATATATGTCATCATCTTGCCTTTATTCCAATGGCTATGGCCGTTTTCAGTTGCACGAGCTCCCCTAATCTTAACGAACCTTCCTTTCTATCTTTTAAAAAGATAAGGGGTACATTCCTTGAAGCAGCCAATGCTGGCAAATGTTTAGTCAGCCATCGAGGGTTGCAGTCGGATGCTAATAGTATTGCCTGAATGTAGACAATTGAAATATATGATAAAAAGAAAATCCTTTTTTTCCTTTTTCAATATTCATTAAGGCAAAATATAAAAGATCTGAATTTTTGAAGAAAAAAAAAAGTTAGATGTAAAAATGTATAAACTCACAACACAATTTTGGAATTTTCTCAGTTCATAATTTTCTCACTTGAAGAACAGAGTACGTACGGCCAACTTTATATACAAATCCTACATGCAAGAAGAAGAGCAAAACGACGTCGTTGACATGCCAAACGACGTCGTTTGTAGTAAAGAAAAGGGAAAACAAAAGGAAAGCAAAACGGCGTCGTTCGCATTAAGTGATACGACGCCGTTTAGAATCAAAGCCAAAAAAAATAAAAGAAAAGCGATTTGATAAGTCGCCACTTGAAACCATGCAGCATCTTCATGCAGATATGATGAAAGCCGAACTGCAGCTGCACATTCTCAACACCCGCCCCTCAAGTTGGGCCGTGATCAACCTCAACCATGCCCAACTTGGACACAAGATCAGAAAAACGATGGCCTGCTACGATTTTGGTAAAGAGATCAGCCAATTGATGCATGGAAGCAACAAACATAGGAAGAATGAACCCCTGCTTATATTTATCTCTCACAATATGGCAATCAATCTCAAGGTGCTTTGTGCGCTCATGGAAGACGGGATTTGCCGTGATGTGCATTGCAGCTTGATTGTCACACCAAAGAGGTATAGGAAACACAAGAGAAATGTGGAACTCTTGAGCCAAGTAATGCAGCCACATTAATTCTGAGACAGTTGACCCCATTGCCCTATACTCAGCCTCAGCCGAGGATTTTGATACAGTGTGTTGTTTTTTACTCTTCCAAGAGACAAGGGCATCACCAAGAAAGATGCAAAAACCTGTGATGGATCGTCTAGTGTCTTTGCAAGTGGCCCAATCAACATCACAATAGGCCACTAGAGTGAAAGATGATGACTGAAAAGGATAAAATAGACCCAGTGATGGCTTGCCTTTCAAATACCTCAAAATGTGCAAGGCTGCAAGCCAATGTGAATCATGAGGATTGTTAACAAATTGACTGAGCTGTTGAACAGCATAAGTCACATCTGGCCTGGTAAGTCCAAGGTAGAGCAATCTCCCAATAAGTCTTCTAAATAATTCAGGTTCATCCATGGCTGTTCCACTGTGAGCTTCTAATCTGATTCCAAGAGGTAGAGGAGTAGGAGAAGCTGCACATTCTAACATATTCAAATCCCCAAGAATGTCTAGTATGTACTTCCTTTGACACAAAGATACTCCTTTAGAAGTGTAGGTCAACTCCACCCCCAAGAAGAATTTTGCAACTCCAAGATTTTTGATAGTAAACTGCTCATCTAAGAACTGCTTCAAGCCTTGTATTAGAGAGAGTGATGAACTAGTGACTAGAACATCATCAACATAGACCAAGAGGGCCAGATAATCAGAGTCATTTGTTAAAGTAAAAAGACAATGGTCATAAGATGATTGCAGGAGACCAAATTGAGATAGTTTTCTGCATAATTCTTGATTCCACTCTCTTGAAGCCTGTTTGAGCCCATAGAGACTTTTCACCAGTTTACACACTTGCCCTGGTTTAGCTTTATCATACCCCAGCGGTGGAACCATAAAAACTTCTTCAGTAAGTGTGTCATGTAGAAAAGCATTATTCACATCTAACTGGTGAATTGGCCATCCCTTATTTATTGCTGTAGCAATCAAGACCCTTACTGTCACTAATCTTGCCACAGGTGAGAAAACATCAAAGTAGTTAACACCTTCTATTTGATTGTAACCCTTGGCAACAAGTCTTGCCTTGAATCTCTCAACTGAGCCATCAGCCTTCCTCTTGATCTTATAAATCCACTTGCCCCTATGGCCTTCTTGCCATGTGGCAGCTCAGTTAGTTCCCAGGTATGATTGCTCTCCAAAGCATCTATTTCCTTTTGCATTGCCTCAACCCAGGATGGGTGCAAAACAGCTTGTCTGTAATGACTAGGCTCCTTCTCAAGTGAGATGTTTGCTAGAAATTCCTTATGTGAAGTGCTGTGACTCATGTTTGGAGAAAGAAAATGATAAGGCACTGTATTTTCTTTATTTATCTCTTCCATTGTTGAAGACCCTCCACAGATATAGTCAAGATGCCATTTAGGTGCCTCTCTTTGTCTAGTACCTCTTCTTATTTCTGCTGAAATCTCAGCTTGTGGTTCTTGATGCTCAACAAACTCTTCTGCTTCTGAAATGTCATCCCTTATAGCTTGTGGTAGTACACATTGATGCTCATCTGGTTTTATATATGGAAATACATCATCAAAGAAAGTGACATCTCTGGAGATGAAGCACTCTCCATTATCCATGTTGTACAACTGAAATCCTTTATTTCCTGGTCCATATCCAAGAAACACACACTTGCTGCCTCTAGCATCATATTTGGATTTGAAAGGTTGTAGTCTTGCAGCAAAAGCCAAACATCCAAAAGGCTTTAACTTTGAGTAATCAGGTTCCTTCTTATAAATTCTCTCAAAAGGTGTTTTCCATTGGAGAAGTGCACTAGGGAGCCTGTTTATAATAAATGCTGCTGCCAAGATTGAGTGTGGCCAAAATTTCAGAGGCAATTGTGCTTGATAGATCAAAGCCCTCCCAATTTCAAGCAATTGCATGTGCTTTCTCTCAACCACACCATTTTGCTGTGGTGTGTATACACAACTAGTCTCATGCACCACACCCTTTCCTTGAAAGAAGTTTTGAAGTTCATTTCCAAGGAATTCTCTCCCATTGTCTGTTCTCACCTTTTTAACTGTTGTCTCAAACTGATTTTCAACCATCAAGATGAATCCACTTAGTAATTTTGCAGCTTGAGACTTCTGTTTCATCAGAAAAATCCAGACTCCCCTACTGAAATCATCAACAATGGTTAAGAAAAATGAAGTACCAGTTATGGCTTCCTCCTTGCAAGGTCCCCATATGTCAGCATGAAGCATCTCAAAGATCCTTGTTGCATGTATGTTACTGTGTTGAAAGGGCAGTCTGTGCTGCTTAGCTTTGTGACAAACTTCACATGATTTAATCTTTCTTTGGTCAGCTTCAGTATATTTTCCTTTAAGAAATTGCAGGTGTTCCATAGTGCTGATGCTGGCATGCCCAAGACATTGATGCCATTTATTCAATGTAAGGTTGGCACTGACTGAGTTTATGTGAGCCATTCTTTCTTCAGCCAAGATGTAAAGATTTCCCTTTGAAATTCCTTGTCCAACAAGTTTTCCAGTGTCTTCTTGATTCAAGTAACAAGAGGTAGCAGAAAAGGAACATTTAACCTTCTCATCCATGCACAATTGGCTTACTGATAATAGATTATACTTGAACCCTGGTACAAACAACACATTATGCAAGGTTAAGTTGCTGCTGATTCTCACCATTCCAGTGACATTAACACTTTTGTTTGATCCATCTGGCAGGCAGACAGTCACAGGATTTCTTAGTGTGTAGCTGTTCTTCATGAGGGTCAAATCACCACACATATGTCTGTTTGCCCCAGTGTCTATAATCCAATCACTGCAGCTCACATCTTCTACTGAGGTTAGGGCAAAATGCATTTCATCAACACTGCCTTTGTCTGTGAAGCTTACCATTTGTGCATAATCCAATTTGTTCTCTATATTTTCCTTTCCTTTTATGAGTTGTGTCAATTCCTGCAATTGTTTGACCACAAGTGACAACTCATTCTCCTTTCCATTTCTTTTGTCATGCACAGAATCTTTCCACTCTTCTCCTTCATCATATGATTCCACACTGTTAGCACAATTGGCAGTTTGAGCCTTTAAGTCCTTGTACCAGTCAGGTACCCCATGTAGCTTGAAACAAGTTGCTACTGTATGTCCTCTCATCCCACACTTGTCACATACTAGTTTGGCCTTTTCTTCCTTGCTTAATCTGGGAAAGCCTCTACCTCTTCCTTCTGATGTGCTTGTTCCTCTATAACCAACACCTCTTCCTTGATTACTAAAACCCCTTCCATATCCCTCAGATCTACTGCTCAAAGCAAGATTATCCACTCTATCATAAGAATTACTTACAGTCCTTTGCCTTTCTGCAGTGAGTACCATGGAATAAGCCTTACTCACACTTGGTAGGGGTTCCATTAGCATAATCTGATTTTTCAAATTGTCATATCCTTCATGTAATCCCATAAGAAACTGAATTAGCTTATTTTCAGCTTCATTTTTAGCTATCAGCTTTCCTTTTTCACAGCTGCAGGTTTGAGGAGGCACAACACAAGCATATTCATCCCATAATCTTTTCAATTTGTTAAAATAATCCATCACTGTGCTATTTCCTTGCACTAAACTATTAATCTCTCTCTGCAGTTTGTATTTTAATGGACCGTTATTTTCTCCAAATCTCATACAGATATCATCCCAAAGATCCTTAGAAGTATCAGCATACACAAACGATTCAGCTATCTCTTTGGTCATACAATTGAGAATCCATGACAAAACTGTTAAATCGACCTTTTTCCACTCATCATAATCATCATCATCAATAGCATGTTCAGGTAACTCACCATTTATAAATCCGAGCTTTCGCTTAGCTCCGAGAGCTATCATCATAGATCGACGCCATGAGAGGAACTGCCAGTGAGTTGATTCGAAACCAGCATCAAACCAGGATGATCAGATCCATGAAGGAACAAAGGATTTTGACTCGCCGATCGCGCTCCAGATCCAGTTGCATAATCATTCGCCATCGCCATAAATCACAGATCTCTAAGCTCGCCCAGAACCGCTTGCTCTGGATACCATGTAAAAATGTATAAACTCACAACACAATTTTGGAATTTTCTCAGTTCATAATTTTCTCACTTGAAGAACAGAGTACGTACGGCCAACTTTATATACAAATCCTACATGCAAGAAGAAGAGCAAAACGACGTCGTTGACATGCCAAACGACGTCGTTTGTAGTAAAGAAAAGGGAAAACAAAAGGAAAGCAAAACGGCGTCGTTCGCATTAAGTGATACGACGCCGTTTAGAATCAAAGCCAAAAAAAATAAAAGAAAAGCGATTTGATAAGTCGCCACTTGAAACCATGCAGCATCTTCATGCAGATATGATGAAAGTCGAACTGCAGCTGCACATTCTCAACATTAGATTTGCTATTATCGACTAATGGTAAGACATACGTCCAATAAGAAGTTGATTTGTTCTTGTCGAATGCTACTGGACTAAATATTGTCAATATGGACTAAATATTGTCAATATAATTAAATAAACCAACCAATAATTCTTACACATCACATCAATTTTAATTCACTAATCATCTACTCACATAAACTAACTACCACTTCATATCATCTCCCTCTTACTTTTAAATCAAATATATTTTAATTGTTTTATTTTAATTATTATCTTAATATAAAATTAAAATCTCACTGAAAACAAACCATACCACTTTTTTTAAAATTAACTCTGGTTAACCAAAAAAAAAATCATTTTGAGTGGTAATTATATACAAGCATGCCCTTAACAGTTTAATGACTACTACTACTGGTCATTCAAGTATCATCATATACCCTATCAAGTCAAGGCAGCTAGTCCCAAGAGCTGCAAATGAATACGGAGATCTGAAATTATTTAGTATTGAGCCCAAACCAACTTTAGCATTCATGATGTATCAACTAAGTAATGCCTAACCGGAACCTAAAAAAATCAGAGCAATCACACACACACACACACACACACAAAAAAACAAAAAAAAAAAAAACAAATAGGAAACAACAAATAAAAAAAGTTTACCTGAAGAGGCGCGCAAGGAGCTTTGCAGCTATCATCACCACTCTTCAAACTACACTCTTCTAAGGAAACATCAGTCCTCGTATGATTCGGGGGCATCCGCTCAAGCGCACGCGTGACTTCATTAACTCCCACTGCAAATTGTTGCTGACAACTTAAAAAAATGTGTTAGGTGTCATCCTATCTACTCATTAATGGAAAACATGTGAAAGAATATTGTCAAGCACCAAAAAAGAATTCCGCTGAAACATAAACCTTAATCCAAAATTTAATAGGCAAAGCAGTGTCAGCAGCTCTGGCAGATTCAATCTCCCTACTTGCACCCCACAACAAAAAAAAAAAAAAAAAAACGGAAAATGAAACTAACAAATAACAATTGGAAGTCAATAAGTCAGACAAAAGCAAGGTACTATAGGGCATCAGCAGCATGGATACAACATATGGTACCTTTGGATTGCTTTGAGCAAATGAATTAGGGTTTCTCCTTCAAGGCAACTGCACAAGTATTAAATCAGCAACCATTAGGTTCTAACATTGGCAGGGCCAAAAAAAATAATGAGGGTTTAATTGATACAGAGTTGGGACTGACTGGGGATGGTGAGGAGATTCACGTAACGCTCTGGCGGCCACGCCACTTTTGGTTTTGCTCCGCATAATTGATGGATCTGAACAATATTTTCCTCCCCAGTTTTTTAGCGGGACAATAATTTGGGGTGCAGCTAAAAATAAATGATAAGAATAAACTAATAACTTTTTAGTTTTTAATTTATTATGATATTGCCGTTATATAACTATTACTAGGAAGCGAATGATATTGCTCGATTTCAGGCTCGTTAAGGGCTCGGGCTCGAGCTCGAGCTTCAGCACACTAAGCTCGAGCTTCAGCACACTAAGCTCGAGCTCGGCTCGTTTACAGGCCTAGCACAATGTAGTGATAAATGAAAGCCTGCTTTAATTAAAAAATGGGTCAGCCACAAATTCACAAATTCAGCAATAAGTTCACAAATTCACAAATTACACATTTCAGTCTCAGCAACAAATGCACAAAATTTGAACACATCACAAATTTAGTCTCAGCAACAAGTTCAGTCTCACATACCTCACAAATTTCATATTCTTAAACCCTGACTCACCATCTAGATTCAGACCTGAAAATGAAGCCTGAACTCACAACCTCAGACACAACCTCACAATCACAGATTCACAAATTTCAGTCTTAGATGCCCCAAATTCACACCCTGACTCACAAACGATATACAATCCTGAATTTCATAATTTCAAGCCACAAAATCAACATATTTTCAGCAGTGTCATGTAATTAGAAATACCTTAAAGGGAAGCAGAGAAGCAGGGAGGAGGCGCTGGCGAGCTTCAACCGGAAAATCGCCAGCCGAACTTCGAGCTTTGACCTTCCACTCGTGAACGGAGACCGGGAAGCATGAAGGTCGGCGCTGTCGAGCATCAACCAGAAAATCACCAGCTGAACTTCGAGCTTCGACTCGTGGACGGAGACCAGGAGACTGGAAACCGGAGGTCGGCGGCGAATTTTTAAGGATTTCTCTTTGAAGGGGAAGAAGAAGACTAGGGTTCTGCTTGCAGGCTGTTTGAGTTCGTCACCTCTTTGTCGGTGTGAGTGGACTGTGCCTGTGTGCATTGGGCCGCTTGAACAAAGAGATTGAATTTCAACGGCCACGATTTCAATATAGACTTTCGTATAATCGTGGTCGTTTATCATATCTGCGGGCGAGATTGGGGGCCAGCCCGCCCAACCCCAGCGGTGCGCGGTCTAGGCTCGCTCCCTGGGGAGCCTAGAAAAACTAGGCCCAGCCCGCCTTTTTATTGGGCCTTGTCGCGGGTCCAGCTTGCTGGTTGGGTTCCATGTGTGTGTGTGTGTGTCTTGTAGAACGAACTATGTAATCGGAGGTTATGAAATTTAAGGGAGAGGAATTGTTGTAAATCTAACACGTATTGCTTAAAAAAAGGGTGTAACAAAAATATAGAAAAATGGCTAATAAATTAAAGAGAATACAATGACAATTTTGGTTAAAACCAATATATTTTATGCTGAATAAAATCAAGGCTAAATTAATGAAAAATTACAAGGATATCAAAATTAAAAAGAATACCCTAAAATGTCCTTTTGAGGTTATTCTCCTAACTGAAAAGACCACTACTTCCTACATCCTAGATAAAATGAAAGATAAAATAACTAACTTCCTAGATAAATGGAAATAAAGCAAAAAATTGGACTCATCCAAACAAGACTTTAGTGACAACAAGTTTGACTTAATTGTTGTTAACAACACCAAGAGCTTTTCGAAACAACTCAAACTTTGTTTGTCGAGTGCTTTTGCAAATATATTCGCTACTTGATCTCCACTTTAAATTTATTACATATGAATATTTTGAGCCAAAACCTTTTCTTGGACAAAATGGAACATGAAACACACTATTACCAACAGCTTAATGGCACTTTCATTATCACAATGAATTGGGATGGGATAATTCAAATCACATGAAACTTCTTGAATAAGTCTCTTTATCCAATCTATACATTCTTGGGTGGCCATAGTGACTGCCATATATTCAGTTTTACAACTAGAGAGACCGACAATACTTTGTTTTTATTGCACCAAGAGATTGTCATTGAACCTATGTTGAAACAGTAACCTGTTGTGGACCGCCTATCATTTATGGAACCCGCCCAATCTGCATCTACGAACCCACTCAAAGAGAATGATATGTCTTTCTTATAATGCAATGTTGGGTTTTATGAGGAACGTCGTTGATGTGCACATCCAATTCCATTACAAATTAATTTAACATAGTGGAATTTATAGTTAGGATCAGGATTTACGGTTTAAAATTTATACCGACTCTTAAACGTTTTTGATTTTTGCTATTAGAGATCGTCTAAACCTTAGAGTCCGTTGGTCTATCGGACTGGTATTGGGATTGCTGGACTGCACCCAGGCTGCTGGAGGTGGTCCGGATTCGTCACGGCTCGCTTGGTGCATGGACGACTTACCTAGGATTCGTTGATGCGCTGGTGGCCGAAGGTCGCGCTATCTGGTGCACTGGTGGCCGAGGTCCCATGGTATGGTCACGTTGTTGCCGAGACTTGTGGCATTGTAGGCACTAGTCGCTAAGACAACTAGTTGCATAGTGTTGTTCGCGTGTAGGGGTGACTATCAGTGCGGTTTGGTAAAAAACAGAACCGCACCGGAAAAAACCAAAAATTGAATATTTACGATGTCTTCATTGAACCGCACCGCAATAAAAGGAATAACTGAACCGAAGTGAAAATTTTGGTTCGGTTCAGTGCGGTGCAGTTTTTTGGTTAACTGAAATTAAAAAAACGATAACCACAAATCAAATCTCATTTCTACTTGAGTAATAGAACATCCTAGTAGAGCAATATTATTGCACTCTCCATTTAGCTCTGAATTATAATTAATTCGTCTCTCGACTAATTGCTCAATTTACCACATTATGTTTAAGATATAACGCACGTTGATTAATTTAATTACTGACAATATAATTATAAACTTCTTAAATCGAAAATAATACTACTCAATTCTTTATTATTATGTCGAAAATTAATAATCTTTTTTTAGCTTGTTTCGGGGACGTCGTCTACCATGCGGACTGGGAGACAGTGAGCGTAACAAAACATCATGTAAACAACACCACTTACCAAAATACTGAGTATGTTAACTTAACATAATTGGTATCATCCTTGGTATCTAAGTAAGTGTTGAATACACATGCCCGTTTGTTATCTTATGGATTAAAAGAATGCAACAATTACTGTGGTATAAATTATTTACTTGGTCAATATAAATAATCTTATCCTCGTGTAGGTGTATTCATTACATACAAGATGTAATAGTGTAATTCGTTAGTCAAAGATCAACTAACTCGAAAATCACATTACAACCTTTCACGACAGTTAGTTCAATTATGTCTGGGCTATGAACAAATACTGATATTTTACAAGGCCCTGATAATATGACATTTCTGTTCGACACATCGAAACATATGATCTACAATGTAAAATAAATGAACCATGTCCGTATAAATAAATAAACTACAAACACACACTTGACTAAAGATACGAATTGCATTAAAAATGGAATTATGAGTAATGCAAAGTCGAGCTTTTAGATTATACTTCAACATGTAACCCAAAAATCAAAGTGCTCTTTATGTAGCGAAGAATTCTCTTTGCAACAGTCAGATGATCCTCTCATGGTTTATTCATAAAATGAAGTCATAAACTACCAACAAGTTGACGGAAGAACATTGCATCTTATAATAATTTTCCTTCATCTTTAGCTAAGCAAGGTTCCATAGAGTCGTTATTTGCTTTGATCCCTTCATATTGAAACGAGTCCATAAACTTGATGTGTATCATTGTTGTGAAAAAAAAAAATAAAATAAAAATAAAAATAAAAACTCATCTGACTTTTCAACTTCCAAACCAAGAAAATAACTAGTTTCTACCAAACTCTTCATTTCAAAAAAAACTTGATGTGTATCCTTATTGTGAGATAAAAAACCCATCTGACTTTTCAACTTCCAAACCAAAAATTAACTAGTTTCTCCCAAACTCTTCATTTCAAAGTGAAGAAACAACGCATCTCGAAAATGGATAACGTTCAACATCTAAGATATAGCATTCTGTTAAAAAATACTACCTCCTTTTTTAAATAAATGTCGTTTTGACTTTTTTAATTCATCCATTTTGCTATGTATCTAGACATATTAATGTCTAGATACATAGCAAAATGGATGAATCAAAAAAGTCAAAACACTACTAGAAATAAGTGTATTAGTAACGAATTTTTCCAACGGATTAGTATTGGTGTCATAATTACGGTATTAGTAACATAATTTTGCAACGGATTTAAATTGGTGCCATAGTTATGAGTTTCTGCAACGGATTTTAATTTGGTTTTATTATTAAACCATATTTCCTTTATTTAACTAGCTAGGTTTAATTCAAATAAAAAATAATAATTAATTATTACAATTAAATGTACATAATATGATTTTATTGAAATTCGAATTTCAACTAAAAGAAAAAATATGATGATTAATGTCAAAAATGCCTTATATGCTACTTTTGAATAATAAAAGGATTGAAAATTAGCCGTAATGAATTGATCTTACATCGATTTGAAAATTAGCAATTTGAATTTTCAATTTTGGGTGTCTTCAATTTTCCTGGCTCGCCTCGGATACAAAAAAAAAAATATATATATATATATACTCGAAGCGGCTCAATCAGTTTTATCATATACCGCTCGAAATCACCAGTGAAATACAAAAAATACATAAAATCGACACCATGACGTAGTTCAATTTTTGGCTTATGCCAAATTAAATTTGATTATTAATGAGTAGGGGTGTGCATACTTTAACTAAAATCGAAGGTTCAGTTTTTATCCAAATCGGTCGGATTTCAATTTTCAACATATAATTTTTCGGTAATTTCAGTTGGTTTTGGTTTTCGGCATTCAAATGTCCGAATAACCAAACCAACCGAATTATATTCAATTATTTAATTATTTTTATATATATATTAATACTAATACATATTATTATATTATATATTATAACATAATATTTCAATAATCCTAATTCCTAAACATACCTATACCTACGTACATATAAATATATATATATATATATATATATATATATTAAATATTTAATATATTATATATTAAATATTAATCTTATATTATAACATAATATTTCAATAATAATATTAATATTTAATAAACAAGAACTTGAAATCTCCCGTCGGCATAAACAAGAACTTGGAATCTCTCGTCGGCATCCATCTCCCTTCCCCAAATCATCTCATCGGTCTCCCTTCCCCAAATCCTTCGCCGTCCACAATCTTCCACCGTCGTTGCTCCTCCGCCCTAAATTGCCACAATACAAATCATCCCCCAAATCGTCCAACCCCACATTACCCACGTCTCCTCTCCTTCCACAGGAGGTTACAAAGTACTATTTACATATTATTTTCTCTCTCGTTACATTGGAGTGTTTACTGAGGGTTGTATTTTTTTCATTTAGGGATTGGTCACAAGATGCAGAGAATAAAATGTCGTAGTGGCACACAGATGAGATGGAGTGAGTCATTACGCCGCCCTATAAAGAGAAGAGTTCTATGACATACTGTCTGGACTTAAACTTACCACCAACCTCCGAATTACATGAGACAATTTTTCATTTACAGGTATTATTGTATTAATGAGCTATTTATATTTATAATTATATATAATTTAGTATATGCATAATTAATATATTTATAATTGTAAACTACTTTTTTTTCATCATATAATTTAATATATATACAATGAATATATTTATAATTGCATTTTATGTTTTTGCGATAAAAAATTTATAGCAGGGAGAACAAATAAAGGAAGAAGGGTTGAACACAAACATGGAGAAGCACGATAGGCTGTGGCTTGATTTGAATTGTCCACCCATCTATGAAGGATTCATATCCGATGCCCAAAAATATGAAAAATCTTGTCGAATGATGCCTGTGGATATTCAAATGTTGAAAATATTGATTCCACAGTTGTTCACGTCTAATGCCTTGTTTTTTATCTGATAGAAATGTTTGTTGCTTATCTAATAGAAATGTTTGTTACATTTGGTTTTTATGTGATAGATATGTTTGTTTGTTGGTTTTTATGTCATGGAACGTTGATATGTAAATTGTGTGTAATAATGAATAATATTATATGGTTTGCCATTGTGTTCTTCATCTTAATTTATACGATTATTCTTCTCTTATTTTGTAAATTGTTATATATATAAAATATAATGTATTCAAATTTACAATCATTAAAACATCAATTCAACGCAGTGAATTTTAGATTCGTTGAATTATAATAAAAATAATCAAACAATAAAAGTAATTTATAATTTTGGTATATAATTTATAATATTATGAGCAACGGATTTTTTTGTTAATGATATGGTTGCTAATATAGACACATTAGGAACAAAACGATCCATTACGAAATCCGTAGCTAATGAAATAAATTAGTAACGGACATTTCCATTTCTGATTCGGTTGCTGGTAGTAAATATTAGAAACAAATATATCAGTTACAAATTTGGTTGCTACTACTGTACTATTAGAAACAACTATGTTTGTTTCAAATTTCGTTGCAAACAGTAACGGACCATTTTCCGTTTCCGAGTATTAGCCACCCTGTTTTCACTAACCAATTATGAAACGGATTTTGTTTGTTTCTGTTGTATATTAGTAACAGAAAAATACCTTTTAGCAACAATAATTTCCGTTTCTGAATCTCTAATTTCTAGTAGTGAAACGACATTTATTTAAAAAAGAAGGGAGTATTATTTTATTAATATTATAGATAACGATTAATATAATAAATGTTATGTGAAAGGTTTTTCAAATAGCGCTTCATATAGAAAAATATTATGTGAAAGGTTCTTCAAACAACGCTTGATATAAAAAAGCGTTCACATAGCGCTTTTTAAGCGTTATCTGAATAGACTGGTCTTCAATAACACTGATTCGATAACGCTTGAAAGCGTTATCTGTAGCGAAAAAAAGTATTATCTAAAGTCTTTTATGGCGTAGTGGCTAGTTTCAAAATTATAAACAAAACTCAAGGCCAGACTGCAGCTTATTAAAAAATTTTAAAATCACAGATTTACCCCAGGGGTCAACTTGCATTAATTGTAAGTTTAAGAAATTGCCATTTGGCCCCTAATTATTATCAAATCTTCAAAGATAGCTCTATGCACCCCAAATTCGTTTTTCAACCTCCCGTCCGTTTCCGACACCAATGCTCCCGACCACCGCCTAGCCGCACCGCCCCAGGCGTGTGTCCTCTCGCCGGTACTTCCCTTGGCCGATCAAACCACCAGTTTAGTCGTTGTTTTTTTTTTTAAATATTGTGTCCTCCATTAATGGCGGATTCACGTGCTCAAAGCTCGCACAGGCGCCCGACCTCCATTTAGAGCTCAAATCTTGCGTCGGTGTACTGGCCTTTTTTTTATTATTATGTCCGCCATTAATGGCGAACTCGTGAGCTCAAAGCTGGAATTTCTGTTGCCGTTCGCGTCCAAGAGCGAGCGACCAGGGAGGAGCCGTGCGAACTCCATACGTTGGCGCCGCGACGAGGGCTACCCAACAATGACTGGCCACGCAATTGGGGCCTCCCAACGAAAGTTGGCCTGAGCGACGGGAGATCGGAGATTGACGATCCAATTCCTAGATTCGATTTTTTTTTCGTATTTCTAGAGAGAGAGTATAGATGAGGGAGAAGATATTTTTTTTAAAATTTTATGCTTTACAATTAAATTGAATTAATAATGATATTAATATATATATAGGTAGTTGCGAGGAAAGAGAAAGTTATGTTAGGGAGTTAAGTGAAAACAAAAATGTAGAGGGACTTAACAAAAATGTGCATTATTGCATTTTTTAATGTCTCTATTACACATGGTTGTAAACCAAGTTGTAATAGAGGTTGGCTAAGTAGCATAATTCAAAATAATATGGCATGGAGGATTTATTTCGAATTAGCTCTTAATTTAAAATCAAAATAAGCAAGTAAAAAAAAAAAAAGGAAAGAAAAGAAAAAAATCATTTCCAAATCAACAACGCCAGCACCGCAGCTCTGTCGCCGTCTCCACCAATCGCCGCCGTCTGGTTTCCTCCTCACAGTCCTTTCTGTTTCCTCATCTTTCGTCACGCCAGGAAAACACATTGCACCCAATCCAAGAGCTAACGGGTCTTCGACTGAAATGATTATTTCAATCTGGCTCCTGATGAAGAAATCCCTCTGAGCTAAAACCTTCCATGTCTTCTCTCCGCTCTTCCCGCCAATTCCTCAAAAATCTCAACCCCCTCTCGCCGCCGGTCGCCCCCAAATCCTTCTCCGGCTCGCGGAAAGCCGCCGCCACGCTGTTCAAACCAAGGACCCGCAGATCCCCCAAACCAAAACCCTCGGCCGGAAAACCTAACCCCGAGCCAAAACTCTATTCGTCGGAAAAAATCCGAACGGTATACAAGATTTTGAAATACTCCACCTGGGATTCAGCTCAAGAACAACTACCGACCCTCCCGTTCAAATGGGATTCCTTCATCGTCAACCAGGTCCTCAAAACTCACCCCCCAATGGAAAAAGCTTGGCTCTTTTTCAACTGGGCATCGGGGAGAAAGAATTTCAAGCACGACCAGTACACATACACGACGATGCTGGATATCTTTGGGGAAGCCAGGAGGATTTCGTCCATGATGTATGTTTTCGAGCAGATGAAGGAGAAAGGTATAAAGATTGATGCCGCCACTTATACTTCATTAGTGCATTGGGTGTCGAATGAAGGAGATATCCAGAGAGGGATTGAGCTGTGGAAGGAGATGAAGGCAAAGGGCTGCCGCCCGACGGTTGTTTCATACACGGCTTTTATGAAGATTTTGTTCGATCACAAGAGAGAGAGTGAGGCTTGTGGCGTGTATAAGGAGATGCTTGATTCGGGGCTTTCGCCTAATTGTCATACGTACACTGTCTTGATGGAGTATCTTGCTAGCTCTGGTCAGTGGGTTTTGTTTTGCTGTGTATTGCTTAGTTATATGCCTACTTTTGGTTTGATTGTAGAATGCTTTGTGTTTTGACTTGAATTTGTTTTATGCAAATCCTCAATGTGGTTGAATTGATGGTTGTAGACAAATGTATACATATAAGAAAAGGGAGTTGCATTTCCTTTATGTCGATATGCTACGCCTCGTGAATTGTTTTGTAGAAAGTATGAGATTGTGACTTATATTTTAATCTTCAGGCAAATTCATCGAGACCATGGAGATATTTAACAAAATGCAAGAGGCCGGTGTGCAGCCTGATAAAGCTACGTGCAACATTTTGATCGAAATTTGTTGCAGAGCATTCGAAACTCGGACAATCACGAGAATACTCGAGTACATGAAGGACAATTTTATTGTCCTACGCTATCCTGTATATCAAAAGGCAATCGAGGCTTTCGAAACCGCCGGGGAGTGTGATATGCTTCTTAAACAAATCCATCCACATTTTTCCAAACAACACTCGGCAACTGCTTCAAATCACGATTCGGTTGCACAAAACACCGAGTTTGATTTAGAGAATGGGCTCATTTTGTTGTTGATAAGAAAGCAGAATCTTGCTGCTGCCGACTTGTTGCTTGCTGATATGAAGGAAAAGAACATAGTTTTAGAAGCTAGAGTGATCTCAAGGATTATCGAGGTAAACTGCGCTCGTAACAGAAAAAATGGTGCTTTATTGGCTTACGACTACAGTGTGAAATCGGGCATAGACATCGAAAGAGATTCTTATCTTGCTCTGATAGGCTTATCCATTAGATTAAATTCGTATCAGAAGGTGGTGGAGATTTTCGGGAAAATGGTCGAGCATGGTTTTTCGCTTGGGACCCACTTAAACTCTCTCCTCATACACCGTCTTGGCTGCAGCCGCGAAACTGCCTCTGCTGTAAAGGTATTTGATTTATTGCCCGATAGAGATAAGAGTACAGCTGAGTATACTGCTTTAACAAGTGCTTATTTCTCTTCTGGGAATGCCAAAAAGGGACTTGAGACGTTCGGAATAATGAGAAGTAAGAGTGTTAGTATTACGTTGGGGACTTTAAACGTGTTGATTGCCGGTCTTGAAAAATGCGGTAAATATCGTGAGGTGGTATATTATAGAAAAGAAAAGAAGCAAATGCAGATGGAAAGATGCTCATTAAATATGACGATGGAGGAAAAAATATGCGATCTTTTGTTTGCTGGTGATTTTGTTGCTATTAATAAGGGGCCATTCGGCAAACGGCCATTGTTGGGTATATAAGAACCTTTGATCAGTTGTGTGTAACATTAAAGAAAGCTTCTTAAGATGAAATGAAAATGCAGACAGAGGGCTGCTGCTGCCGGCTCCAGAGGCTTTGAGGTATTATAATTTCTATTTCTATGCCATCCTTCCTATGATTTAACTCAATTTGGAAAAAACAAAATATAAACTAAGTATGAAAATAAAATTTATATAAAAAAAGTATTCTAAAGATTTATGTTTCAACTTAAACGGAGACTACAAAAAGATTGAACATACATACCACATACCACATACCCAGTATATTCCCAATTGGTTGGGGTCTGGGGGGTCAGTTGTACGCAGACCTTTCCCTTGTAATTATACAAGGAGGTTGTTTCCGTAGCGACCCAAGGTGCATTGCGTCGTTTGATATATTTTTTTTTTCTAGAAACTTCACTAATAGAAGAAGCACTAGAATTTAATTGAGCCATTTTGATCTAGTCCATTATTAGCACTATGCCAGGAGAATTGTCAACAATGACTCTTCCAGCTCCATTTGCAATGGACAATACAAAAAGATTGAACATTATGGAAAAAAAATTCTAAATGGATATTATATTCCTAAAATTTGAAAAACTACATTCCTGCACAAGATGGACCAAAAGGCGAAAATTATGAGGTGACCCAACATCAATCACCCAATCTTTTGCCTTTTTATTCTGTTTGGATTTTAGAACCCTCTAATATTCAGAACAAACCATAGATGGCTGGATATATAATTATACTGTTTTGCTATGAAGTCATCGAATGACTCGGTTTATGAAGTCTTCCATAGTTATTCACAAATAGTGTATTGACATGAACTTTATCGAGTTTAGAGATTTGTTATTTTAAATGATTTTTTTTTTTTGCAACCTTCAATTAGTTTGAAGCTTATTGTTTGAGAAAAAAAAAAAGAATATTATTCACCTACAGATTTATTTATTTGCATATTTACGAATTTTTTGTTTTTTATTTTAATTCCAAATATAGTAACTTTCACTGTTTATGAATAGTTTATTTTTGTTATTGGTTTTTAAATTACAATTTTTTTTTTTTTTTAATTCATAACTCCTTTATGAATGGTTTATTCATTGTTTTATTTTTGTTATTTTATTGAATCGGTTCACATTTTTTAATTTCGTGAAGCTACTTCTATGTTAGGTCATCAACAACCAATCGTAGAGGATATCCTAAGGAGTAAGGACAAAGCTATGTTTGGCCGTTTGATTCTTCTCAATAATGCTCCATAATTTGGGGGTGCATGAAAATAACAATGCTCAATAATTGACTCCAGCTAGGTCTTTTTTTTTCCTCCTAATTATTCAAGAAAAGTGCATTTTGCCAAGTTTGAAGTATAGAAGTAAAATGGCTCATTGATTTCAATCATGGGAGTGGAGGAAATTGCAAATTTCGTCCCGTTAATTTGAGACAGCCGCAATTTTAGTCATGAGGGGCGCAATTTTAGTACTTAGCTTATTTTTGTTGCGAAAGTAGTCCTACACAATAAAAAGTTAACAGATATGTCATGTGTGAGTCACGTGGCCGTTAGTGTTAGTATGGAAAAGAAGGAAATTGCAGATAATCCCATAAGATTGGCCTGTGTTGTAAATTTAGTCCAAAATGTTGAAAAAATAGTTTTTATTTTTTTATTTTTACTTTTTTTTGTTGTAATTTTTATTTCGTGAAAATATAACAATCTTTGATAGTAAAAAACAGACGAAAGAGAAATTACAACACAATGTTTTTATATTTCAAATTATTATTAATTAAATAATAAATGTATTAAAGAAATTATTTTTTTAAGACAATAGTAGTTGATATTATTTTTATTTTTTAAAATATCATTACCTTCTACATTTATATTTTTACTTTTTAATCAACTACTATAATTATAATCAAATTAAATGATTATTTTCTAAATATATTTATTATTTAATTAGAAATATTTAAAATATAGAATACATTTTATGGTAATTAATTGTTTTTAATATAATATTAAAAATATAAATTTAATCATATTTGATCAAATTATTTAAATTTATATTTTTTTATATTAAAAAAAAAAATATTTATTAACTTATTTAAAAAATATAATTGACTAGCCCGATCAACCAATTTTGACCGGTTCACTGGAAACCTGTTCGTTCAAAGGAATCCAACTGTTTAGTTGACCAATTCTAGATTTAACAGCCGGTTTAGTCCGCTTTTCAAAATAATAATTGTTGATTTTATTTTCATTTTATTTTCATTTCTTAAATTTTATTTATCTATACAATTATATTTTTATTTATTATCAACCACTATAATCATAATAAAATTAAATGATAATTTTCTAAATATATTTATTATTTAATTAAACATTTTTTAAATGTAAAAAAGTTATATTGAAATTAAATTTTTAATATAATAATAATATAAATCTAAATTTACTTGAATTTATATATATCAAATATATTTAAGTTTATACTTTTTTTTATCTTAAAAAATATATAAATACTTATAAACTTAATTAAAAATATATATATAATTGACCAGTACGATCAACCAATTCTGACCGGTTCATTAGAAACCAATTCATTCAGAGGAATCCAACGTTGTTAAATTTAGGACTAATTTCACAACAAAAATAAATTAAATATTAAAATTACACCCCTCGGGACTAAAATTCCAACAATAGTCGATTAAATCATATCTAATTTTGTTTATCTCATCCACAACTCAGAAGATCCTAAAGTAATTTTAAAAATTCAATTTAGAATTTATCTTATAACATTTTTGGCAAGGTTTTGATGTTCAAAAGGTAAATTATCAATTTAATGTATTTTGGGAGAGAACTAACTAAATTAAAATATTTATACCACGAATTAAGAAAGGAGGTAGAGGTGGCCAATTGTTGTGCCGCGACACGACCCGGCTGTGATCGGCCCGAAATAAATTATGAGCCAGTACGGTCTTTTAAAAAAAATAACACCATGGCTCGTCATACGACCTGCGTTCCGGCCTGGACCGATGGGTAAAAAAAAATATGGACTGGGACTGAACTGTCCGACTTAACGAACCGACCCTTAAGAGGCCGGTTCGGGCCGGGTCGAGGCCGGTTCTCCCGTGTACATGTCTAAAAAGAGGTGAAAAAATCTGTAGTTTATTACTTGGTCCGGCAACAGGCGGACGGTGGCGAATATTATACTAACCAACCACGTGTCCGTCGACTACATCAAATCCCGTGAAATAGTTACCCACTTGCTGAGTCACGATAATCGAGATGATATTTGAATATAGTAAAATATTTTTACCTAATTTATTCTACTACTTTATCGGGGTTGTTCAGTAAATGTAAGGAACTTTCTGGGTCTCATTGTTATTAGTCCCGTAAATAATTTAATTATTTATTATTTATTTGTTTTTAGGGTTAGCTATAAATAGCCCCGGGTTGTAGGAGCCTTCATTCACATTCGTACCAATTGAAAAGCAATTTGCAGAACAAAAAAATAGAAGACTAACAAACTATTACATTTTCCAACGCCAATGGCGTTCACAAGGATGCTGGCCCCACGCCTTCTCCGCACGTTCCGATCCGCCAGCGCCTCGACCACCAACTGCCGCGTCTCCTCGCCGTGCGCCGCCGCGCAGTCCGTTGTGCTAAACCGCCCGACGGCGCCGAGCAACCTCTCCCCAGATCCGGGTGATGACGGCGTGTTCCGGCGGTACATCCACAACCAATCTGCGGCGGCGGGGGCAGCGTCCGCCGATCCGCGGTTCCTTCCGACTGGGGAGAAGCTTCTGGAGAAGCTCCGGGGGATGGGCATTGCCAGGCAGAGGATACGGATCGACTCTCTCATGCCGCCGCCTGCGGCGGAGGTGGAGGAGGTGGAAAAGGAACCGCCGTTGCCGGAGGGAACGATCACAGTGAAGGACGCCGTGAAGATTCTCAGGGTTTCGCAGCTTGAGGCGGTGAGATCTAGGCTGAGGCGGATCGAGAGGGACTGTATTCCTTATTCTGAATTTGTGGAGATTTGTGCTGTAGATTGCTCGAGTGTTGAGCAGGGGATAGAATTTGCTAAGATGCTCGACCAGTCGGGGAGCGTGATTGTTCTCGGGAAAATCGTGTTCCTCAGGCCTGAACAGGTTGGTTTCATTTCTTTAATTTTTTTCCTTATTCATTCATTGATTCATAAATCTACATTTATTTTTACTGTGTATCTGTGTGATCTTAGATTGGGCCAAGTTCTTATTGCTCTATGGGGTGAAAGAAATGGCTTTTGGTCACAAACTTCATTAAGTTTTCTGGCGATTAGATCAAATTTCTTTGTGTTAGATTTGATTTTAGCTCTATAATTTTCTTCAAATTTTTTTGATTTTGGAGACTACCAAGAACTGATAGCTTTTTTCTCTACCGTGTGTGTGTGTTTGTCTCTTTCCACAGGATATTGAAACCAATGTTTCGCACTCAGATCTCTTAAAACGAGATGGTGACTTATATTTATGGAGTGGACCTCTCATCACCTGCAGATTTCCAATTTTTAACTCTGAAAAAACTTAATACAAATTTGACACCATCCACCCTATTACCTATCTCTCTAACTCTTCTATTTTCTCATTCTGGATGGTTGATATATATATAAACACAACTGAAAAATCAAAAAGATCATCCATATGAGTGGAATAGAATATACAAGCACAAATCTAATTATCTGATGAGCTTGCCCATCAAACAAAAAATGATTCTTTTTTTGCTTCTTTTTTAATAATTAGATGTAAATAGTTGATACTCCGGTTAGGGGTGGGGGGAGGGGGAGTAGAGAGAAAGTGGAAGCTCATAACTCGATGAGATTTCATTTTTCGGAATCGTGTTTCAAGTTTCAATTCCCGTTTCGTTCCATTGGATGAATGACACACGCATGATTATGCCATCATCGAAGATACGTGTCATTCATGAAATAGAATGAAACATGAATTCGAAAAAAAAAAAAATATTGGTACAAAAGATCTTTTCCCCACTAAGAACTTGAAGCATTTTCCATGTTTTATTCATTGAGTCAAAAGAAATGTGCAAGGTAGATATGAGGAAGGGGTGAACAGCTGAGCATGAGAACTAGGAAAATTGACAAGACTGATTTGAATTTTGATTGGTTTGAGTTTGGATATACTAGCATTTGGTGTCAGGAAGAAAATACATCGCTGTTCAAACTCGACCAATTTACTGTTATGTTTAATTTCTGCTTGGAGAAAACAAAAAGAGAGACCATTGAAGTATACAGGAAAAGAACATACTAGCAAGAAAACGAGAAAAAGAAAGAAAAAGATAATAGAGCAATATTTACCCAAATGTTGTGTGCAATTTTTTGTCTTTGGATACAGGTGGTGAAAGCCATACAAGGATTAATCCCTGTCCCCACCCCATCCCGCACCCTGGATGACCCAAGCATGCAGGAACTTTGTGAATTGGAGAAAAGGAAATCCCAAATCGACATCAAGGCAAAATTGCTGGTCCAACGTGAGCTATGGTGTGGACTCGGGTACCTTATTGTCCAAACGGCGGCCTTAATGAGGCTGACCTTCTGGGAACTCTCGTGGGACGTGATGGAGCCTATCTGTTTCTCTTTGACCTCATTTTATTTCATGGGTGGTTACGCTTTCTTTCTGAGGACATCAAAAGAGCCAACTTTTGAGGGATTTTTTCAGAGCAGGTTTGGGTCCAAGCAGAAAAAGTTGATGAAGGCCGAGAAGTTTGATGTCGAAAGGTATAATGAGCTGAAGAAAGCTTACGCGTCGGCTAAGGGAACTGACAATGTCGTGTTTACCTCTTATTCTTCTTCTCCAGTTGCGTAATAGGGAAAGTTTTTTATCATGTTTGCATTAAAAAAAAAAAAAAAAGTGGAGAAATGATTAATAGATATTAGTTGTATTTGCCAAATTTACATGGAGAAGAAAAGTATCTTCTTTTATTTGTGCCATGTTAGACTTGTAATTTTCTCTAGCCGGCTTTGTAATATAGTTTGTTGAGGCATTTTTGGATAGTGGCATGAAAATTTCATTTGTAAGCCTTTCCTTTCCCTTTTCTCTTTGATAATTTCCTATCTTTTAGCTCTGAGGTATGAATAATTCATGTTTATTTCTTCCCATTATTCTTCCAGCGTTTGCTTAAAAAAGTAGATAATCGTAGATGACGCCATAAGTCGAGCAATCCTATTGTTTCATGGCAAAATTGATAATACAAATAAAAGTCATCCTATAGTTTTCTTATAGAGTCATCGATCATTTAATGTATTGACATCTGTCTAAAGTGTAATTTTTGAATGACGTGTGTCAATACATTATTTGTGAATAACTGTAGATGGTTCCATAAGTCGAGCCATGTGATTGTTCCATAGCAAAACTCTAATACAGAATAGTTGTATTAGTTAAATTTACCTAAGAGAAGAACAACATTCTTTCGATTTGTGAGGTCAATAATAAACCACGAATCACATGTTGTATTACAAAGATCCTCTTTTAAGTTTGTACTTGTTTCCATAGTTTAATTTAGTACATTATAAATTATGGGGTTAGAAGTTTTCATTTTATTTTATAATTAGGCTGAACTTCAAGGGATGAATTTGTAATTACAAGTAGCTTTATGCTACAATATTACAAAAAATTGACAAGTACCATTCAACATGTCATCAACTCAACCACCAAATCAAAGCCAAATTACCAAATTTTGTTGCCTAGTGAAATTATTAGTCCTAATAAAAAGTGGTGGGACAACACTAGGAACAATTAGACAGTGTATATGAATTGTTAATTGGTATTTGATAATGATTGGTGGTTAATTGAGTGATTTTTAATTGAATGATTAGGGTAGCCGATGAAAGATTAATTATCAATGTAGAAATAAATGGTTATTATGAGTTGATGTATTACTAGTACAACGCCCGTGTATGCCCGTGTATTACACGGGTGCTTGCTAATTTTTTCTTAAAATCTAAAAATAATGAGAAAAAATAGTTGAAAATTTAAATACCTTTTATAAAAATATAAATAATTATATATTTATTATGACACTTTTTATTTGTGCAACTTACATGTGTTATATTATAATAATTTTTATAACTTACAACATATAACTACATTAAGCATAAATATATCAATTGAGAAATAATTTTATTTTTCTAATGAATTTTAATAAATATTATTATTTTTATTATTATGAATATAAATATAATTTATTTATTTCATGTATACAATATGGATGTCAAACCGAAGATCATCAAAAGATGCTTAATTTGATATATCATATATGTAAAACCAATACGAAATACAGAAGTTATCGACTTTTAAAATACATTTATAATTCAATAGTTAATTGAAAGAAACAAATCAAAAGTCAGGGATATATTAGTCACTTAGTGCCTCAGTTTGTAAAATTACAAAGAAATAAAGGGTTATATTAGTATAAGTGATATTAAAATACCTAAGTTAGCTAAATAATATTTATGGAATGCCCAAACCTAAATTATTAATTATTAATATATCGATATTATTTGTCCAAACCTAATTACGAAGCATGATTTTTTGCCAAGTAGGATTCTGAATCACCAGAAGCAGCCACGTAGGCTCAGCGCATTCAGGAATAATATATAGGGAGGATTATACAAAAAGTTTAAGAAAAGTATAAAAACGAAATGATGAACAATATATATTTTTTCTGTCAAGACTTATACTTTTCTTTTATCTATAAATTTGTTACAATTGCTCTGTTAATTCTTAATATAAATATTATTTAACTATATCCATAATTTTTAGAAGACTTGAGAGAATTATTTGGATAAGATTTTTTTTTTTTTTTTTTTCTCTTTCCATCGACTATTATTTATTTAATACATTTTACTTCTACGTTATATTATTATATTATATGAATTCATGGTGATGTTTATCAGCCGTATATGATCATTACACGAAAAACCAATCAATAAATGGTGCACTAGATTGAATTTCCAGCTTATGCCATCGTGTTCATTCATATCATTATAAGATGAGTGCAAATTTTCCATTTCATATACATGAATGCATGTGTTATCCTAAAATGTTGATTTATTATTATGGTTTTATAAATGATATTGTCAATCCTTCAATGTCGTTTGTTGACGGTCGATTTTGCCAACACACAGTAATTCTAATTTTGAAATAAAATGGATATAAAGTGAATCGGCGGTTGATAAAAGGAAATAAAAAACATAAATGCGGAAAATAAAGTCGCGCAGATTTCACCGGTCTATTGAGATGACCGGCGGAGAGTCTATTGGGTGTTTCTCAAACTCCACTGGATTACAGGCTTCAAGCTATGGCTTGAATTCAAACCTTGTGAAGGGTGCTCTTCTGAGGATTGAAGGCATATTTGGCTATTTTTGTAGTGGGAAATTTAATTATTACTAGTAAAGTGCACGTGCGATGCACGTGATATCGAATGATTTTCGCAGAGTAAGTTTATAAAATAAATTAATTTTTTTATTAAACATATCATTGCATAAATGAAGTAAAATATAGAAAAAATGATCTCATATGTGATTTTTTTATTTAGAATTAACATAATGATGTCCTCATATAAAACTAGTGAAATAACGTTTTACAAACCCCAACAAAATATATATAAAAAAACAAATTCCTAATAAAAATACACAAATATTTTCTTTCATTTTAGTTTTAACGTTCTCATAAGAACATTTATAGTCGTTGGAGTCCAATACATCAATACTATTACAAAATTCCTCTTAATTAATTTGGCAAAACGCCAATTTTATTCAAACACTTAAGAAACATTCTGAACCAACATATAGTCAAACTTCATGATCGTTTGATCTTTATAATAAGGTACTTCTACTAACAAATGATAAATATCTCTATGAAATAACTAACGGTGTCACTAAAATTGTTGATATTTTTTTATCACTGTATAAACTACTACATACCTCTATCTCTAGATATATTGTTGTCTACCCCATTGATGCATCGCCCCACGAGGTGGGAATGAATTTTATCTCCAAATAAAAGTTGACTTTCCAAAATCTTGGTTACATGTACTTCTCCCGAGGTGCTAAATTATTTTTTGAAATCATCACACATTACCTGAAAGTACCTCTAAAGTAATTGCACATATGTTCAAGCACAATACACCAATGAGATTATAAATATTTCTATAAAAAGTGACAACTTAATTCTAACATTCAAAACTGTTTTGATACTCGTACATTTCATTTTCAGTGTTATTTCTCTAGAATATAGACGAAAGGTATAATCTATTTTTTGCAATGATAAAACAAAACAATGAGAAAATATTGAGAAGCATATCATTTGTTAAAATATTTGACAACAGAAGAATTAGAATTCCATTATATGACGATACTTTTAATCATTTGTAAAGTTTATTATTATGACGTCATGATTAAAATATACATCATGTATACAAATTTTTAGATATTTTAATTATTTAAAATTAAAAATAAATAATATATGATCATTATTTATGAAAACCAATTTCTTACAGAGTCCATATATTTAAACGCTAGCAACAAAAAAGTAGTAATTTTAAAAGACTTTTTGTTTGTAAATATTGGTATTCATACTTTTATAACAAGATTAGCATGTTTTTTTTTTTTTCTCATTGCATTACTATTATATTATTTCTTTCTTATTCTATAGACAAATAATATTTTATTTGCTAAGTAACTAAAGCACATTTATACGTATTATGTTATTTTTTGTATGTGTTTTATATAATGATGGTATCAAATTATCTTATTTATTAGGCTACAATTAATATAATCACATAAGATTAAATGTAATTTAATATATTTGATAAAATTGTACTTTTTATACGAATTATTAGATTAAAAAGTTTTAGAATTTTTTCCAATGTTTGATAAAATATTAATTAACTAAGTCATTTTCATAATCACTGAATACATATATGGTACCACCATTATAGGGTTCATTTTGCAGCAGTAATTGACTTCACATAGCTAATGTTAATTAATTTACTTTCTCTGGCCTAGCCTTTTCTTTTATCTATGACTTCACATTGCTTCGCTTTGTTTGTACCCTAAGGTGCATTTGCCATAGTTTCAGCGACACACTCGTGTCAAACATATATCGGATTTGGGCGCTCTAACCAAAACTTGGGAACAGTTAGAAGTTTACACCTATTTTTTTACTTTTTTTTATAATATGAATTGTTTCAAATTTATGTATGGAAAACAAACCACAAGTTTTATCTTATGCTATTTTATACTTAATAAAATTGATTTAACTATATTTGTATATCCTATATTATATTATATTTAAAATAAATTTTTTTAATTAAATAATTACGATTCATAAATTCATTAATAATATTGTCGAGTCAACTTTTGTTCATAAAAGTTTTAAAAATTATTTTCATTGATTTGCTTATGTTGAATTGAGAAAAGTTATGTTTTTTAATTATATATAGGGAGGATATAAGATTTCTTATATTTTTTATGTAGTATTTATTGAGTAATTGTGTTTACAATTTTTCTATTAAAAATAATATATTAAACACGTGAACTTTTTAGTTCCTATAATTTTATTTTTTTTTTCAGAAATCATTCATTATTTTATCCCAAGATTACCTATTAATTTACCAATTGAGTTACAATTCTTACATATTAAATATTATATAATTAATATATTTCTTGTTTTATCTGTTCAATATGATACTTATATATTATATTAAAAAACTAATATAGTAAATAAAAAAGTTATTTAAAAATAGAATAATAAAGATTTTTTTTTTCTAATCTACATGTATAAATGTACAAATAACTATTGTCTATCACCTCACATTTACACATAAAATTAATAAGAACAAAAAACTAACAAACGTTTAACAACTCAGTTCGATTGCATCGATAAGTATATTTTTAGAAGGTTTATATTTAGTTATATTAATTATATTATTTTTGTTTATTAGTTTGTTTTATATTTATTAGTACGTGTCACAACTTAGTTATTATTCATATTATTTCTTATATTTAATATTTTTTAAAACCTTTATCTTGTTCTTTCACATGTTCTTAACTGTAGATTTGTCAAAAAAGATATAATATAAGGTATAGAATTTTTTCCATCATCTGCCTCATTATATATCAACTATTTGTATATCCTATATTATATTATATTTAATTACAATATTTAATTAATATTTTAATTAAATATTTACAATTCATAAATTCATTAACAATATTGTCGAGTCAACTTTTGTTCATAAAATTTTTAAAGATATATTATTTTCATTGATTTGCTTATGTTGAATTGAGAAAATTTATGTTTTTTAATTACATATAGGGAGGATATAAGATTTCTTATATTTTTTATGTAATATTTATTGAGTAATTGTATTTACAATTTTTCTATTAAAATATATTAAACACGCGAACTTTTAGTTCCTATAATTTTTTTTCATAAATCACTCATTATTTTATCCCAAAATTACCTATTGATTTACCAATTGAGTTACAACTCTTAAATTAAATATTAAATAATTAAACTATTTCTTGTTTTATCTGTTCAATATGATACTTATATATTATATTAAAAAAACTAATATAGTAAATAAAAAAGTTATTTAAAATTAGAATAATAAAGATTTTTTTTTTTTCTAATATACATGTATAAATATACAAATAACTATTGTCTATCACCTCAAATTTACACATAAAATTAATAAGAACAAAAAACTAACAAGCGTTTAACAACTCAGTTCGATTACATCGATAAGTATATTTTTAAAAGGTTTATATTTAGATATATTAATTATATTATTTTTGTTTATGAGTTTGTTTTATATTTATTAGTACGTGTCACAACTTAGTTATTATTCATATTATTTCTTATATTTAATATTTTTTAAAAATTTTATCTTGTTCTTTCACATGTTCTTAACTGTAGGTTTATCAAAAAAGACATAATATAAAGTATAGAATTTTTTGATCATCTGCCTCATTATATATCAAATATTTGTATATTCTATATTATATTATATATAATTACAATTTTTTTATAATTATATTTTAATAAATATTTACAATTCATAAATTCATTAATAATATTGTCGAGTCAACTTTTGTTCATAAAAATTTTAAAAATATATTATTTTCATTGATTTGCATATGTTGAATTGAGAAAAGTTATGTTTTTTTTTTTTTTTTTAAATTAAAATAGGGAGGATATAAGATATGATGTCATTAGTATATTACCAATTTGCCATTAAAAACATGTGAAAGTAAGAGTTTTTTAGGTAGTTAATTTTATAATAAAAATATAGATAAAATATGATGTGTATTAGTGTATTACTAATTTGCCATTAAATTTATGTCAAAGTAAGGGTTTTTTAGGCATTATGAATTTTTACAAAAACACTCCTCCTTTTAAAATAGTATAGATATAGATATAGATAGATATAGATATAGATATAGATAGATTGTATGTTGTTCTTTGTTAGGTTTTGAGTAGTATTATGCATGTTGTTTTTACTTTTTAGCCAGCCTCTTATCTGATCATCAGCAGAACAAAGGAAGATTTTAGCTTTACAATTGCTTGAATGTAAAGTGTACAAACTACAAAGCCCATTGCCTGATCACCACATCAAAGAAAAGGAGCAAACTTCCCATAAATTATCTCCAGTAAGCTGAGATCAAAAGAGAAGAACCAAACACCAATTATTTTCGACCTTTTTCCACACGAAAGCTCATTACAGGCGCAGATCGAGTGTAAACAGTCAAACATTATTAACTCATACAATCCAGTTTTTCGAGTCTCTGATATAACCGGAAAGTAAGACAGTTACAAAAAGCTCTGCAAATCTGCATTCTGCATCTTCATTCATCATTTGGAAAGAAAAAAAAAAAAAAATTTAAGCTTATGCAGTTTATTCAAATTTTGTCTAGTTACTGGTCGAACGCCCTCAGAAGCTAGAGCTATACAATCATTTCTGATACAAATTCGACAGAGTAGCATCAAATTGCAATTCGAGCTCGAACTACTCATCAATGTATACACATTGACACACTTTCCAAATCAAGAAAAATCGTACACCGCTAAAGCTACTCAACAATTATCAAGTTTTACGCAGTTATATGTTCCCACACACCACATTCGATCAAAGATTCATTCCTTTTGGTTTCTATACCTCAGACTAAAATTATCAACCCGCCAATTCATCACACGGACATACTTCCATCCTATACACATCCCTATTTCAACAAATTATATAACCAACAAAAAAAATAATATAAATTCAATAAGGTCCATTCAAAATTTCATCACCATTTCAGATCATCATCCGTTTTGTCACGAAAACATGCCCATGTCCTCACCCGACCCGCTCGGATAATTAATGATCTTCCTCAAAATCAAAGTCCGAGCCATCCGAGTCTCTTGAGTGCACTTGTTCGCGTGTTCTCCAAGATCACGAATCGTCTTCATGAACCCACTCAACTTTTTCCTAATCTCCTCAACCGCAATCGCCACTGCCACCTCATCCTCCTCGACTCCTCGTCTATCTGCAAATTCAGCATCGGCAAGCAACGACTCGAGCTCGATCCGAAACTTTTCCACAAGCAAACGAATCCCCTCAAGATCCTTGATCACAATGTAGCTCCCGATTTGCATGGAGCCCACAATTTCTCTTTGTGCCGTCAGGTCTCGTTCGCAGTTCTTCCAGATAGAGTTCAGCCACCGCCCCATGGAGCCGAGAGGAACGGCGGCGGCCGCGGCCAGCGCGGTCAGCACCGGAGGGGCGGTGACGGCAGCGGCCACCACGGAGCAGATCAGAACAGAGGCGAAGGCCGCCACGAAGATGGCGTTGGAGACTTTTCTCCATACCTTGAGTTTCTTAAGCTTGCCGTCGAGCTTCCGTTTCTTGGCCTGCAACCGTTGGAGAATTAGGAGCTGGTGAGAGTAGACGGAGTTGAAAACCCTAAAGAAGTCTTCCGTGAAGGGATCCCCCGCCGCCGCGAAATTCCGGAGCTCCGCGAGGGTTTTGGAGTATTTCCCGGCGGGATCTGAGGTTTCGGGACGAGAGGGACAGTGGTGCTCCTCCTCGAAGCGGCGGAGGGCGATGGAGACGACGGACTCGATGCGGGAGGCGCGTGCGAGGCACGCGTCGAGGGCAGCGCAGAAGTCGAGGGTGAGGAGGCTGTTCTCGAAGTAGTCGTCGACGAGGTCGGAGAGGTCCTTGTTGCGCCAGACGTCGCGCTTGTGGCGGAGGATGATGCGGACGACCTCCTGATTCGTCTCGAGCAGGCACTCGGTGACCTGGCTGAGGGACTCGAGGGAGAGGGACCGGACGTCGGAGCCGACGGCGATGGAGTGGATGGCGCGGGTGGTGCGGGTGCGGAGGGTGGAGTCGAAGGTCCGGAGGTCCGGGTCGGCGCGGCACGCGGCTTCGTAGGAGCTCAGATCGGACTCCGATAGGCCCGTCGGCTGAGAGCCGGAGCCGGAGCCGGAGCCCGAGCCAGAGCCGGATCTGGGGTTGGGTGTCGAGAGGATTCGAGCCGGGGGCGCGGCGGGAGGGGGGCGGCGCGTGCTGTAGCTCCGGCAGGTCCGGCTGATCTGACCTCCCATTTTGGGATCGAATTATGTGAAAAAAGAAGATAAAATCTAATCGTTTTTCAATGTGTGTGTGTGGAGGAGAACTGGAGAAGGAGAATGGGAGTCTCAGAGTCAGAGGTGACTGATTGTGTGTTATTTGACACTAATATTTTTGCAGAAATTGACTTTGATACCTGCAAAGAAACAAGGAGAAATTAAGGGGAAGCCACGCGGTAATGGAAAATGGGGCCATGGGAATTGGCTGACGTCGTCGTCGTCGTCTTCGTCGTGCTCGATTCCATTGGGTATGTGGGGCACTAACCTTGTCGAGATCGATTTATGACGCTCGAGATCGATTCGACAAAAGACAACAATTGTTCGAGTTCGACTTAAGATCGATTGAAATCTAAATTTTCGAAAAATTGCACGAGCACGGCTCAAGTTCCACTCGAATTACAAATAAAATTAACCATTACATACATGTATAGAGTATTATAATCTTTATTATAAGAGGTATTTTAGTAACTCACTACATATCTCGAAACGTTCGAAATCGGCCCCATAACATGCTCGAGTCTCTCGAGCTCGGCTCGAGTTCGGTCAAACTCAAGTTCGAGTTGAGTATTGACTCAAGCGCTACTGTGCGGCTCGGTTCATTTGAAGCTATGTGTGTGTGTTTTGGGGTAAAAAAATGTTTTGTATGCTTAAGTTGAATTTATTAATGAAATACTAAATTGTCAAATGAAATGAAGTTCAATAAATAATGATCATGCCCTGAAAATTATCACAACATACCACACGACTAAGGGTATAATTGGATATTGATTGCTTTTTTTTTTAAATTATAGTTAATTTTGAAAATTTGGTATGCTAAGTTATTAGTTGGTATGTTAAAATAATATTTAAAATAAATAATTAAAATTAATTTGATGTAAAAATAAGAAACTAAGTGATGATTACTTAAAATTATGTAAGTAAATGAATGGTGAATTAAAATTGATGTGTTTTGTACGAATAATTGGTTGATATTATTTAATTATATTTATAATAATAATGATAGTAGAGTTAAGTTAAATTTAAATTTTAATTGTCTTTTTTTTTTTTGAGTCTATAACCAATCACACCCTAAAGCTCTTCAATTATTTGTTTCGAGTCCACAATATATAGTTGCGTCACGGTGTTCCGAATTTAATTATATTTAGTTTTGGTGATAATTTATTTAAGAATGAATAATGTGTATAAATAAAAGATAATCATTTACCATAAAATGAGCAATGTTTACATATTTTTATCAGGAGATAATTTAAATCTTGACTCATGTTTTAAAATGAATATATACACGAATATTTCATCCAAATTTCACATGTCATATCAGTATCATCTAAATACGATGTAATTTTATTTGAAGTGAAGATGTTTAGCATTCAATGCCCAAAGTTCTATATGATATTGCAAATTTTCTCAAATAACCAAGCATTAGAGAAACTCCATCTCTAATGATGATATAATCTACAATTATGTGTCAATTATTTTGACACTTTCATATTCCTTCATTATCTTACTTTTTGACTCTCACTTAGCATGAAGTGTTCTTGTATCTAAAATGATGTGTGGTCATTTAAATTTAATGATATATTGAAAATGGTTAATTTCAAAGATAAGAAAGACGGGAGACAATTCTTCCATAAGAAGGGTCCCGTCGACAACAAAGCTCGACTAACTAAATGATTGGCAACAAAATTTTGATTCCTGCTAATGTGACTACAAGACCCGCAATGTAGATTAATGAAACTAAACTACATATAAATTGTTGGATCCTATTTGATTTAATCATATATAAAATGTTAAGGTCCTCCAATGACCATGTTACTAAGACAAGTAAAATGTTGAAAATTTAAATAAATCCAACTTTTTTTTTTTTATTTCTTTCTCTTGCATTGACCAAGTCTCCAACCATTTTTCTATAAAAAAACATCACTAATTCCACGGTTCTAACCTTTTGACTTTTTCAACATTATTTGCTCAAGTATTCTAGATTCTCGACCAAATTGTCTGAACTGAGTTGAATTTTCAACACGTGCGGCCTAAAATCCCAACACGGGCAGAATTTGTTACCTCGACAGTTGGGAGGCGGATTTTACTACTACCATCCGTTCAAATAGCAACAAGTCGTTGTAGTATAGTGGTGAGTATTCCCGCCTGTCACGCGGGTGACCCGGGTTCGATCCCCGGCAACGGCGATATTCATTTTTTCTTTTTTGTTACAAAGCACTTATTGGGCCTAGAGTCTGTTTTGCTACGATTGGGAAAGCCCACTTAGACACTTATTGGATCTCAACTCTGTCGTGGTACGATTTGGAAGCCCACTTAGAATAAAAACAATACTTCCATTGGAGGCGGGCCGTGACCGTTGTAGGGTCTCTTTTTTGTTGTATATAGAAAATTGGCTCTCCACTATATAGTCAATTGTTGGCTTCATACCAAAACCGTAACTATCATATCTCCATTCAATCTCTCGGTATTTGTAAGGATTAATTACACAAGCTATCTCCATTCATATCTCCATTCATAAATGGAGCGAAAATTATCATTAATTCTACTTCTTATCAGCATTATTAATCATCAGTAGATATGATTAGCTGAACCTGGTTAATTAAGATTAATTAACTCCTAATCACTCAACAGTAGATATCATCCCAAAAATTCTTTAACTACACTCATCACCTTAATTGCATTGTAAATTTCTTCTAGTTCAAACTTTGAGTACATATCAAAACAAAGATTATGCTAACGAAATAATGTGACCCGTTTCGACGTGATTAATGTGGGGACTAAATTTTAGAAATTCACCCTTTTAGATTTATTGTTACATACAGGGAAATGTTACTGTTCTGTTACAGAACTATTCTGTCGAAATTTATAACCGTCGTGGATAGTGATCTAACAGTTACAAATTACGACGGAACTTGTCAAATTGAGAGACACATTTACAAGAAGGTTGGATACTTAATGTTAGATGTGGATTGTCACGTGGTGGTCACGTGTTGATAACTTGTCTTCCTTGTACCGTACAATTCTTGTCTCATTTTGCTTTAACTTTTATTAACACATACAGATTCCACAATGCACCGAGAGTTGATACAACAACAGGACCAGAAAGCCTGACATGGAGTTTTTTTGAATTTTGGTGTGTATCTCAATTTCCTTTTGTCCCCCATCTTCATCAACCATATTGCATGTTTCTTTAATTACATCATATGCTCGGTTTTTGGTTGTTAGTTGATTTGACTAGCAGTTTCGATTATTAGTAGATGCGTTTGAAAATAGCATAATTAGTTTGTCAAATCGACGTTTGAGAATAGCGAAAAATTGTAAATTTTATGTTGTGTATATATTATTATAGCTAATAATATGGCCTTTTTTTAAAATATATATATATATATATATTTTTTTGACAATGTACGGCTTAATGGATGAGGAGTTTTTTTTTAAAAAAAAAATTAAATTAACTATCAATTTAATGGTTTTATGAGTGTTGTTAATTGTAGGACTTAATTTGAGAGTTTTATAACATTCAGATACCGAATTGAGAAAAAAAAATCTTTCAGGTCCCCGAATTGATAGTTTACCTATCTTTCGAGTCTTGTATTGAAAAAACTGCAATGGAGAATACCTAGGAAACAAAAACATGTTTGAGTTTAACTGTTTAAGACCAGTATTTGAGCACAAAACAAAAACATTGGATTGCCAAAAAAATGTTTAGACATGTTTATCACTTTGCCCTAATTCCCAAAGTCAGATAATATTTCAAGTTGTTCTGAAAAATCATCCCAAACAACATTTAATCATTTTTAAGTAATCATGCATGTGGACTCTCTTTGGCCACCCTATAATTTTCGCTGTTCTTTTTAATCATTTTTTTATCTATTTCAAATCGAACTCTTCCAAAGTCAACTACTTGCTAAGCCAAAATCATAAGCCAAATTATAAATGGTACGATAAATTGATTTTGCACCGATTTATGGTTCTACTTCAACCCATTCGTTGGGTCGTGAACCAGACAAACCTGCTCATGCCGGAAAGTTTCCTACTCAGTTATGGACGATCGACACATTTTAAAAGGTGTACTCTGATGCAACAAACCCCCTGGAGATATCCATGAACATCCATGAATTACCCATATGATTTGAAACGCATACATTATTAGAGAACTTAAGATAAAGATAAGAAATCCAAATAGAAAATAAGATAATTCATGCTCATCCTGTGGTCTTGATTGTTTCTTTATATCTTGAGTACTGTTCTATACACAAGTAAGTTCACCGAAATCATGCATGTGTATTTGAAGTGCAACTATACACAAGACAAACGTCGTTTTATATGGAAGACATTTGTCAAAAACCGTGAACATCAATGATCATATGTTCGTCTGTATACAGAGAACGTGTTTCATGTGCCTCGACTTTTATTGTTTATTTGCATTATTTGTTCGAGTTTGTTCAAAGATCGTGCTCGTGAACTCTTTGGTCGCCTATAATTTTGCGATTGCAGAAAATATCCACTAAAAATTCTAGTAGTGGACTCTTTGGTCGCCTATAATTTCTTTTATTATTTTAATATTTTTTAACCCTTTCATTTTTTGTTTTATCATCCACAGCTTCAAATTGAATCATCAATCCAAATATGTCCTACTTTGCTAGGCTTAAATCAAAGAGCAAACTATTTAAAACATGCCCAATAAGTTATGGCAGATAACAAATTCATTTAATAACAAATTTATTTAATAACTTTTGCGAATATAAAAGATACCCATAAAAAAAAAAGCACAATATGCAAACATAAAAATAAAAATAAAAATGGTGAAATAAATCATAAGATTTGATAAAATGTCCTGATTTTTTTATTTTTTTTTTTGGGTACCCAGCCACGGTATCCGGAGCTATATATGCTCTGACTAATCCGTTGGTCTACCCAGGTCGCACACCTGCCAACAGTGGGTGAGTCTCCTAACAGGAGTTTTCTGCATTCACAAG